TTTAGTTTAGTTCTAAAAGGATCTAAGTCAAAAAAGAAGATTTTTCATAAAATATATTTTTAACAGACATCGTATTTTAAGAACTGGAACTAAAGTTTCATTAAAATGTATTTTTTAACAGTTTTTTTTTACAGTGACTTTATTAATTTAAAGTAATTTACACTCCTCATTACTTTGCAGTGATTTTTATTATATTTAAAATGTTTTAAACTTATGAAGCATTACTAATTTCTAAAGATTTTTATAACAAAAGTTTTGAATCTCTTTTTTAGGTACACTATCTTTTTAAGTCATTAAGATAATTGTTAATTAAAACAATCTCTATGGTAAAAGTTTTACTAAAACAATTTCATTGGTTAAATAGCTCTTTTGTAACACTCAATCACTTTGAGTATATAAAGATACTCAATCATATTGAGTATAAAAGGCCTATTATAATACTTTTATTCACGGACTGTTTTTCAAAATTCCGACACATTTTCCGACACAATAGTTGGAGTTGATTATGTTGAATTGATAAAAATACCAAATGTTCGCTGACAAAAGAAAAAGGTAAGTATTACACTATTTAATTTTTTTGTTTGGTGGTTAGTTAAATTTATATCATAACAACAATAATGAAAATATCTGATTGAGGTTTATAGAAAATCAGATTAAAATAACCAGGTAAATAAAACATGTATCCAATACTAATAATTTTTAACTTACTTAAGTAATGAGGAAAAAAAATGATTTACGTTCCCTTTTATTATGAGATTTATCTGAATGTAAAACTTTTTTTTTGAATCATGTTTTTTATCATCCGCTGACAATAATCAAGTTGCAAAATCTTTTAAAATTAAATTACTTTTATTATTGACGTACTTTATTTATCTTGATGCATTTAACACGTTTTAATGAAATCTAATAGCGGTAATAAAAACTTCATTAATTTTGAGCCATGAACTAGATTCTATTTGATATTTTTCATAAATGTGAAACATCTATAATTAAAAAAACATTAAAGATATGATAATGAAAAAAATATGGCGACTTGAAAATTAGGGAAAATATATAAAGAACTACGTTATTAAACATAGCTATGTGGAGGTTCGAGAGAAACGAAATCCTATGAATTACTCAAATATTTTATCCTTGCGAACTTGTTGAAAAAAATTTAAATATTTTTTTAAATTAATTAAATTTAACTAAAAAATGTTTAAATAGTTTTTCTTCCGTAAATATAAACTTTACAAAACAATGAGGTTGTTGCACCCCATTTAACAAAAAGGTTTGTTAAATGCACCCTATTTAAAAAACCTTTTTGAAAGTTTTGTGGGTAAACAGTAGTATTGCAAATTTAATTCAAAATATATTTCTGTTAGTAAAATAGGATATGCGGTTCTAAAAAAAAAGATCGCTACCCCTCTTCTCCAATTTTTCACTTTTGCTATGGGCATGAAAAATAGTTACACGCGAATAAAGTACTGCATTACCCAATAGGCATGCGTCGTCCAGGGAACGTCCGTCAAACGTCTCACGGGCATCCCCGGACGACGCTTACCCACTGGATAGTAGTCGCTAGTAGTCAGGTAAAAATGTATCTAAACTGAATGCACTGCGTAACCTTTAAATACATTTATTATTTTCATTATAAATTAGTTATTTAGAAACTATTTTAGAAACATTTTATTAAAAAAAATTTGAAAAAAAAAGGTTTAAATTTCTGTCTCAATAATAGTAATTTTTTAGAATTAAATAAAATTAAATAAAAACAAAGATGTTTTAATTTTTTCCCAAAAAAATGTTGTTTATAGCCAAGTTTTGTGGCTTATTATTAAAAGATATTTATTTTTAGTTGCTAAAAAAAGCTGTTGCATCATCTACAAATAAGTACTAGCAAATATAAAGATATTTATATTTATGTAAAAGAATAAGATATTTATATTTATGTAAAAGAATAAGATATTTATGTAAAATTTAATTTAAGTTAAAAATTTTACTATTCCTCTCCATTTAACAAGTAATACTTTGATTTACTTAATACTTTGGTTTGAACTTTTTGTTGTTGTTGTTGTTCTTTATTAGAATTTAAAGAAGTAATCTGTTGTAAAATATAAAATACATAAATATAAATGAATGTTTTTGAGAAATAAAGAAACACGGGCACCTGTAAAAGACGTAAGGTCGTCGTAAGGTCGTCGAGAATCGCTAAAACGTTACACTTTAAAACTTCATATAATAAAATATTCACAAAATAAAAAAATTCACAATAAGAAATAAGAAATAAAAAAAACTCAAGCTGTCAAGCTAGTAGATAACAAATAATTTAAAATTAAAAGCATAAGCAAAATTTAAAACAAAAGAAATAAAAATGATTCGATTGGGAATATAAAAGTCTTTATACAGTTTTATATTTACCAAAAGTGTTATCAGTTACCAAATGTTAAATATACAAGTTTTTTAATTTAAAAAACTTGAAATTTAACAATTTGTTAACTGTTACTTAAACAATTAACAATTTACAAAGTTGGGGGCCCATATTTTTATTTTCATTGCAAAAAAAAAAAAAAGTGGAGGGGGGGAGGGTGTATCACCGGCGTCACCATCCTAGAAAGATAAAAAAATTTCAAAATTGTTTTATACAAAGCATAGCTCCCCCAAAATAAAATATAATCTTTTTAAAAATTAATTTTATCAACTGAAATAAATAAGGTGAGTTTCCACTCATCCGTTTTTCTGCGGGAAAGGGAAAGGGAACGGAAAAATAATTAGGTGAGCATGCGCAATTTTCTTTCGGACAAATAAAAACTTTTATTACGCATGCTCACGTGATTATTTTTTTCTTTCCTATCCTGTTCCCGTTGAAAAACGGATGAGTGGAAACTCGTCTTTGTAATCATTTCGTAAATTGCATTTAGTTTTAGTTATTCGGTATACAAATTATGAAAAAGTACGGGGAGAAGATTGTTTTTGGTTTAGCGCCGTTTAAGTAAAAGACGTAAGAGCAAAAACGTTACTGGTTTCTTTTAGCATTAAATAACTATTTTATATGAAAAAATTCGCTTTTAGGCATTTCACTTTAGCGACCCGCTACTATTGTTTGTTTTTTTTTATTAAACCATATAGCAAATAACATTGCAAATATTAAGCTCATATATATTGTAAATTTTCATTTCAATTATAAAAAGCTTGGTAATGGGAAATCGATCTTTGAAATAAATAAACCGTACAATATGTTTCCGTTGATGATAAAAAAAGGTTCAAGTTTATTTTTATTTGTACTACGCCACGCAATGCTTGCATAGTTTATGTGATAACGAATGAGTGAATAATAGATTTTAAAGTGTATTTATTTCAAAAAAATTTTTATATAAAATTCCTTTGCGTTTTGATATTTTACTAATCATATTTTTTTATGTGAAATTTTCATGTCTTATTTTCATCAATATAAATATTAAGAAAGTTGGTAACTGTTACTATATGAATCTTAAAAACATAAATCATTACATAACTTATCTCAGGCTTTGGAATCAGAAAAAATAAGGTTTAAAGTCGGCAATAAAATGCAGGCATTAAACAATTTTTGGTGGACATCAAGTTGGCACAAAAATTTTTCTGACTCAAGTTCTAAGGCTTGTGCAATAATAAATTATATAAACTAGATGTCTAACTTCGACCCGAAAAGTGAAGCCGCATTTGCTCTTTTTACAAATAGCGGCTTAAATTTGTAAACAAATATTATTTGACTTTCTTTTTCTTAAATGAAATAAATATTTTTTAAATATAAATACTATTTATGTAAAAGTGTGAAGTGGAAACTAGAATACTTTAAAAACAAAAATTTACGATTCCTAAATTTATTTTCGATTAGAAAGGGATTAATGTTTTGAATAGAAAAGTGAAACGACAGATGCCTTTGAAGTATTTTTATGAATTATAATACTTTTCAATAAAATAGGCTCATAAAAAAACTTTCAAAAATAGGCTGATATAAAAACGTGTTTTTGAATTATCTTCAATTTATGAGAAACTTTTGACTTGCATTTTCAACTTTTATTTGACACATTGAATCCCTTTTTACAAATGGCGGACTATATTCATAAACATAAAAAAAGCGGCTTTAATTTTTGTTAGTTTGTCACTGTTTTTGTTTTTAATATATCACTGGGTTTGTGTTATACAATAAAGTTTACGGTAATATCTTTGCATTATTTTTATCTTGTTATATTATATTATATTATATTATATATATATATATATATATATATATATATATATATATATATATATATATATATATATATATATATATATATATATATATATATATATATATATATATATATACATATATATCTTTTATAAATTTTAACATATTATTAAACAAAATAAACCTTGGGTAAGTTGGCAAATTTTGAGCAGTTTGCTAAACATTTGCCGCAAACGTTATAGAATATAACCAAAAAAACACCAAAAGTATAATGAGCTCAATTTAGGAAGCCAACTATTTTATCTACAACACAGTAATAATTTAGGCAATTATTAAATACTACATTTTATTTATTTTTTGTTTTCGTTTTGAATTTTTTTTTTTTTTTTTGATGATTTGGACAACATCGTTCAAATTAAAAATTTTTTTCGTGTACTTTTTTTTTATAAGTTAAATTTAGCAGATTTATTTAAGATTCAATACTTAATTCATATATAGTTTTTTGAAAATATTTTGCTAGTGATTAAATGTCTGACTTAGAGTTGGATTACTTGTTGGAACATAACGTGGGGCCCGGGGCTATTTATTTGGCCTAGTGATTGAGCCTGTTTATAGGCTCGATCACTAGGCCAAATAAATCGATTTTTTAATTTTAGGACCTGTAAAATTAAGTGATGATATTAAAAATATAGAGTTATATAAGATACACCAAAAACCTTTTGGGTGATCTTCAAACATTTGTCGAATTTTATTCTGAAATGGTGCTGAAAATATATCTTTCGTTAATGCTTAAAAGAAAACTGAAAAATACTTAGAAATTTTTATAAACCAAATAAAATAAAAAACAATTAATTTATTTTATAATAAACGCTGAGTCAGGGTTGAGAGACTTCTGCAATATGACTTTTTTTGAGAGAAGCCGTTGACGCATTTTTTAAGTGCCAGAAATATAGTTATTGCATGTTTGTACTTCTGTAACAGTTGTAGTTTGTGTTTCAGCTTCGCATGATGTTACGGCATCTGGATAAAAACTGAGCAATGGTTTAGGGGTGGAGATTTTTTCATTTGAATTAATGTGCAACTACTTATACATAATCCATTCCCGACCAGAAGTAGTCGCATCACTCTCAACGTCATAGCTTTCTTCTAATCCTTTTCGAAACGTTACTAGGAAATTCTCTGGTAATAACGAATCCATTTTTTTCAAGCACCTCAAGAAAGTAAATATTTCTGTTGAGGAATTAGAAGATTGTGACAACTTGGAAGATAACAGGCGCGTTGTTGTAGAAGAATCAACCAGTTTTGAATAGTCAATCACCTCTGGATTAGGTGGTATAAGCCCACATTTCCTGAATTCCGATACAGCATTATCTGGTTTACCTTTTGCTTTTTTCCATGCAATGTCGAAAACTGAAAAAAAGTTTACCTTGGTCATCGACATGTTAGGAAACTGATTGTTAAAATCTTTTAATGTCTTGTTCCAATAAGTTTTGAGCGGCCCGTAGACAGAAACATCCAAGGGTTGTATAAAATGGCTAGCATGAGACGGAAAACAATGTAGAATAATTCCATTGTCTCTACAGAACTTACTGACACAGACATTGATATGCGTTGAGTGACCGTCCATAAAAACAATTATTGGAAAAGTAACATTTCTTTTACCGATGGATAGAAGTCATTAGACAACCACAAAAAGAAGAAACCCATCCATTAATGGATTGCCCAAGAACATTGTCAGATGGATTTACATGGTCTAAATTGTAACAAGGCTGTGCTCCTGGAAATATAACTAGAAGTTTTTGGTAGTTTTCATCTCTGGATACACAGCCAAGAACTGTTATTTGCGTTTTTGTGTCAGGGGCTATGCGATAAACATTCTTTATACCCTTTGAGGCAATTATTTTCAGCCTTCCCAAGATCTCTGCTAATGGAAACCCTGTTTCGTCCAAATTAAACACTCTACTAGAGTTTTCTGGTAATAGGAGCTCTGAAGCTTTTATTTGGTCAGTAAACCATTGCTTGATTTGAACACGAGAAACGTTTCGCCGTTGGTGGCCCAAATTTTCAGGCATTCTTCTTGCAAGATCTGAATGCCTTTTGAAAAACCTACCAAATATAAAGTAAAAAAAATCAGGTTTATCAAATTAAACACAGATTAGGTAGATACAAAAACAATCATAGGTCAATCAAAATCTAAAATTTTGTATTATTTCTTTATTATATATTCATAACACTTAATAGAGAACCAATTTTTTACCTGTAGATCCAAAACTTGCTTGCCAGATTATTAACAAACTTTCTATGAGCTAACATATCGTTTTTTTCTTTATTGTTAAGTCAATGCTCTGTTATGTGTTGCTTTTCTTTATTGTCTAAAAGATTTTTTTCTATGCTTGGTACATCGTTCTGGCAAATACCATATCCTATTTTTGTTGCTTTAATCAAAAAGTCGTTTATTCTTTCTTCGTCCTCTTTTTCTAAAACAGGTTTGCGACCTTTAAGTAAAAAAAATATGTTGGATATATTCCCTTTGTGCTCTTAACCATCGATATTTTAAACTTGCCTTTCTTCATGAAAAATGATTGTCTCGAATATCAGCAACAGCGGCCATAACAGCTTCCCCGTTATATTTTTGGTACTTCTGTCTTTTTTTAGAGTCCATAGTCCAGATAACAAACTTGGTTAAAAAATTATAAATCGCATATTCTACTATGATGATACTATATATTTAAAATGTTGAAATTTGAATTCAAATATTGCTTACATAAAAGAAATCCAGCCATGCGGATAAATTGGCAGCTGTTGCTTTAATTTTTTTGTTTTGTCTTAAAAACGTCAGTAGCAACCTTAAGAATGCTTTTAAAAATAGTTAAAACCATAAAAGCATTCAAAATCGTTGTTAGGAAAAAATAAAATAATGCACGAAATTTAATACTGTGTAAATTGAGTTTCAGGCAAAATGTACGAAATATGATGCTCTCGATATGTCGTGCAGAATTTTTTTTTTTTTTCACATTCCCAACCATATTTGTTAAACTTTCATTTTTGTACAGTTAAGTGTAAAAGTTAAATTTATAAAGATTTACGTTTTTTCACTTTATGTGAAAAATCGATGTATCGTAACTTATTATAGCTTTTTTAATATAAAAATTTGGACTACCCACAAGGGGTTAACAGTAACTTGATGCGGAAAGGTTGTACTAACGGAAACGTTAAACAGCACTTTGATTAAATTAACGTCAGTATGATTTTTTTGATGAAAAAGACTGTTTGCACGAAATTTGATGCTGCCCGAAATTCGCCAACTTACCCTAACCTAAAAAACTTGCAAAAAAAGTAATGTAATGTCTTTATTAATGGTAATGTCCCGGAACATCCTTTAAAAATTAATATTAGGGGTTATTAACAAATTACGTCAAGCAATTTTTGACTATTTTAGACCCCTGCCTACACCACCACCCCTTCCTTCTTAAAACATATGCAGTAACGAGTTCCGTATGAGTCGTCTCAAAACCACTGACTCCTCCTCCCCCTCCTATAGCGTGACGTAATTTATGGATGAACCCTTAGAGATTGTCCATTAAGTACGTACTCTCAGAGAGGAAGAGGTGGTCTGAAAACGTCGTAAATGAAATGAGAGATGGGGGGAGGGGCAGTATATTGATTATAAAAATATGGAGATACTAAATTTAAAAAAAATATCATAAATATTGGGTTTGTAGGATAAAAGCATAAGTATTTTTAGGAAGGTAGAGGGTACTCAAAAAAGTGTATGGCAAAATGCGGGGGAAGAGGGCGCCCCTTATATATATTAACATTATAACAATAAAAACAAAAACATATGTTGAAATTTCGCACAATGTGAAACAGCACAAATTAAAATTGGTTATAATATATATATATATATATATATATATATATATATATATATATATATATATATATATATATATATATATATATATATATATATATATATATATATATATATATATATATAATATATATATATATATATATATCAACATTTAGTACACTTTGGAAGTTAAAAAAGGAACAGAAAGGACTAAGTTTTTTAGATATAAAAATAACTGACAAAAATAATTCCCATTATAAATAAAGTTTTAAAGTTCACAGTAAAGAAGCAATAACGAACATTCAGATAAAATCCAATTATCAAACCTGCAATTATTATTGTTTTTAAAGGTTTCATATTACGACCCACCAAAATTTGCCGCGAAAAAAATATCAACAGCGAGATTTAATTTATAATAGATATGTTTGTTGTAAACGGTCACAAAAGATCAAATCTAGAAACAATTCCCGCAAATCATCTAGCAAGTAAAAATGATCCTCACAAAAAGGTTAAAGAAAACTAGAAAATGTTGCAATTATAAAATTACCTTAGCTTCACACTAAAAAAAAACAGGTAGAAATTTCTACCTTAGGGCAGGATTTGAGATATACCTGTAGTAAGCGATATATTTCTACTTTTTAAGATAGAAAACTATATATTAAAAACAATAATTTGTCATACCATTTTCTACCATAAACTTATAACTTTCTACACTAAAAGGTAGAAAATTATACCTTAGTAAGTGTACATAAACATATTCAATCTTAAGGTTTTTTAACTTTTTTTTAGTGTGTACCAACACTTAGATAAAAACGTTATCTATAAATGTATAAATGACGACTGTTATGAAAGAAAAATAAGGAAATCGCTTGAAATTAGTTATGCACAAACATTTCAGGAGATTAAACAATCTCCGTAACTGTTAAACAAGGATAAGGGAGTAAAAGTTGCTTCAAATAGTTGGAGATCACTTTTTATGCGCAAATATTTCAAGAGATTAAACAACGCCCGTAATTATTGAGATAAGGGAGCAAAAGTTGCTTCAAATAGTTGGAGATCACTATTTATGCACAAACATTTCAAGAGATTAAACAATCTCCGTAACTGTTGAACAAGGATAAGGGAGTAAAAGTTGCTTCAAATAGTTGGAGATCACTATTTATGCACAAACATTTCAAGAGATTAAATAATCCCTGTAACTATTGAGATAAGGGAGTAAAAGTTGCTTCAAATAGTTGGAGATCACTATTTATGCACAAACATTTCAAGAGATTAAATAATCCCTGTAACTATTGAGATAAGGGAGTAAAAGTTGCTTCAAATAGTTGGAGATCACTATTTATGCACAAACATTTCAAGAGATTAAATAATCCCTGTAACTATTGAGATAAGGGAGTAAAAGTTGCTTCAAATAGTTGGAGATCACTATTTATGCACAAACATTTCAAGAGATTAAATAATCCCTGTAACTATTGAGATAAGAGAGTAAAAGTTGTTTCAAATAGTTGGAGATCACTATTTAGGAAAATCATAAAAAAGCAAAAAAATTGTTATTGAAGTCATTTCTATAATGACTTTAAATTAGCATTTTATATCTGATGACGGTCAGTACAAATCAGACTGAAATATCACTTAGTTAGTACGCTGCTGTTTTTATGTTTTATAACTTAATATACAGTATATATTAAAATACAGTAAAAACTATGTACGTTTTTTACTTTAAATTGAAAACGTGTAAGTTTAAATTTATAATTAAGTATAGTATAAGAAGAAATATAGGGGAGATAATAAGAGCACCTGGTAATATAAGCATATTAAAAGATTTATAAGTTGTGAGTAGAGAAGTTCAGGTTTGACTTTATGTGGTGATAATAAAAAGCAGTATAACCAACGTAAATAAATGTATACGCAGTGGTTCGCAGCTCTCAACTAATTAAAACGCTACTCAAATTTTTGTGTTGTTAAAATGTTATTACTCAAGAAAAAATCTGTTTTGCAAAATTTTGATGTTGATATATTGATATTAATTTTTTGAAAAAGAGAAGTATATAAGTTAGAAATCCGCTCTATTTTTGCTTGAATGCATAAAAACTTTTATTTTTCACTTCATTTAAAACCATTTTCGTGTAATATGAGCATGCTCAAATTACTCAGTGCATTTTTTTAAATTCTAATTTTAAAAGAATTAATGACTTTTTGCAGAATATACTAACAAATTTAATATTTTAACAATATTAAATATGTTTCTGTAACCTAAAACCAAAAATTTTGAATTTTTGTCGTTTAAACTTTTTAAATAAAACTGAAAAAATAACGAATTAATTTTTTTTTTGTCCATAATACAAAATTGTATTTAAAAGTAGCCTAACATCTTATCTTTTAATGACAAATTTCGTTAATGACGAATCCTTATGTTCCACAAATTAGTTCTAAAAGTCAGGTTTGTATTTCTTTACTTAATGTTATTTTATTTAAAGTACTTATATTATCATAAGGTCTGGGTGACATGAGCATTTTCGCTAATTTTTTAAAACCTTTGTGGTTTTGAGAAAAGATTTTTGGGGCCCAAATATCTTAGCGGATCATGAGGAATGATCTCTAAAAATTGCTTATTCGCAAAAAATTTGTATCCAGAATAATTGTTCCTGAAAAAATTCTAATTTTCGCATACGATGCTCATAATACCCTAGTCTACCCTAATACTTAGGAGGGTTAAGTCGCTTGATAGATTTGCTACAGCTAAAGATTTTAATAAATACACCTTGGGTATTGGTTAAGAAAATCACATTTCTGATTTTATAAGACCTCTGATTATAGAATGAAGTCATTAGACTTTTATAAGACTCGTTTATGAGCTGTGGAATATGATGGAGTTTGTAACTGTAGTTAGTAATTGTGGGAGAGTTGCAAATTTCATTAAAGTGCTGGCTTAATTCATCTTTAATTCTTTTTCTATATATTTTTTAGTAATAGTAAAAATGCGAGTGTTTAAAATATACTCAATTATTCGAACTGTTTCAAAACTTTGGAGGATTAGTTTTTTGAACGCAATCAATATTTTTGGTCATTTTAGGCTATGAGCTTCTTTACCAGTTTTACGAGCATTTTTACAAGCAAGCTTTTAATTATTAAATGCAATGCTTTACTGCGATCTCTTTTAGCTTGAAATTCTCTATTCCTTAATGTGCAAAGAGAGTTTTACACAATTTAGGTTCTGGTGTCCTTTATAATTTAGAGTAATTGCAGAGTCCTTTCTTTTGGAAACACTCTTTCATTGCTAAAATAGCAGCACTTTTTAGTTTTTTTCATGTTTTTCGAGATTTGAATAATAAAGAGGAATAACCGGACTGTTAATAAAGCATAATAACAATTTTTCAAAACTGTAATGTGATCTAATTTTTCAAAACTGAAATGTGAATAAGATGAATCAGTGTGTTATATTTAAAGGTGTAGGTGGACTATTGATTATATTAAAAATTTGTTTTAAAGTCATTAAATTTTTAAAAAATTAGCTAAATGTTTAGTAATTTTGTTGCGTACTTCGCGTTCTTTTTTAGAGTTTTTTAGTTCAAGTTAATTTTACTCTAGATTTTTTTTAACCTCTCACATGAAATAAAAACCGTTAAAAACAAATTAAAAACTGTATCTTTTTTCATTTTTAACCTTTTTTTTGAAGATTTAAAACTTTCAATAAATAAGTAGTCTTAAACTTTATGTGGATGATTTTATCAACTTTGACACTCAAAAGATTTTATCAACATACCTTTTGAGCACCAAAATATATATTTATAAAATTTGAAGCCTAATTACACTTTATGATTCTATTTAAGATAAGTTTTTTTTTCAAAAAGTAATTTCCCTCAAACAGGATGCAGGGGGAGTTTTTGAAAGGTATTCTTGCCCCTGTG